CTTCGCGCCCGAGGCCGTAAAGCAGCTTGATCGAATGTGGCCTGGTAATGTCCGCCGCTAGCTCTGAAGACTCATTGCTGCGCTGACATAGTTTACGGCTAGGATAGAAAAAGATGCATTGCTTACAATCTTGTAACTCCTTCGGTAGTAACCTGGTTACACAACGACATTGTTTCGGTTATGAAAATGATGTTTTTGCACGAATTCAGACTTGGAAGCAGCCTACACTCATAACTAAGTTGCATATTAGGATACACATTATACATAAGACACACCCAGACTTATTGTCCCTCCGCCTTTCACTTCTCGGTATTTATCTCCGTTTAAAGGGAGGAATTCCAGCGGAACAGGTGTGTCGAGGCGAAGCTCAGTAACGAAGGCTCTCGTACGTCATCTGATATTGGTCTTTAACCCCTTCCCCGCCTCCCGTTCCCTGCGCGTGAAGCAGTCCTCGTAATGAACAAAGATGCATGCTCCTAGATCATTCTCTATGACTTGGTAATCCTTGGGTGACCTCGGAGGGTGTTGAATGCGGAGGCGGGAAAACATTCTGCTCATGTGTCCTGTATCTAGAATTTATCAAGTTTGTGTCCCATTAGAATATGATGGTGGGTCACCTGAAGTTGGGGAGGGCTATCCCTTCAAATTGACTGTCCTTCAATCGCGACATTCGAACCAGAAAAGCAAGCCCGAAGAGAACGAGCGTGAAAAGTATCAATATCGCACGCTTTAGTGGAGAAGGTGGCATTGGATGCATGCAAAGGCTGAACGGCGGAGGATCATTCAACGTCGGCAGTCTCAGAATCCTGCGTTTTGCATAACTATCGCTAGTCGTGGGCCAGTCTTCGTGAATAAGAGGAAGGTGCTCAGAATCAGTGCCCTCGAACGGCTCAGGCATCGCTATGTATGTCAGAAGGAAGTGGAATGCTTGTAACAGAACATCTGGCGTTAAATATACCTACTCAGCCGGTTCTTATTGCCGCATTCAGGCTAACCACCAGCCAGTCGCGATTATCACTTAATTCACAGGCACTCAGTGATTATAACACGAGTAGCAAAAATGCCTTACCACATGTAGCTTTTGAACCACATGTACATCATTTAAAAGGCGCCTGTCACCTAAGTCCAAGCCTAACTTGAACTTGACGCTTGACGACCCAATGGAACTCGAATGACCGATGCCTCAATATGTTCACACAGTTGTCTGTGTGCGCCCATATAGTATGGCATGATATAATTCGACCGAATGAATCGTATCATCGAGGCTAGCGGCTTTAGTCGTGAAAGGACTAAGAAAGCCACACAAGCAAGTACCCTGGCTTTCCGGAATGAGGCATATAACCTCATGAGGCTTGAAATTCATTCAGGTCGTGCTGTGCCTAGAGTCTATTTAGAACGCAGTGTTATCCCAGACGAAGTACAGCCCACTAGGAGTATAGCTGCTTGACCTAGCGAGTGAGACTCTGTGCAACACAGGGAAGAGAGCACTGATTCGGTTAGAATAGAAGGCACTGGGTGTACCATAGCCGATAATCTTAATTTCGCCGCACAGATGAGCATTGTCAAAGACCCAGTTTGAATTTCCACGCAAGATTAGAAGGAAACTCGAAGGGCCTTCTGGCATATCACGAACAGAGCCTAGCAGATGGCTTCACGATTGAGGAGCAAGAAGGGCGAGGGGACAAGAAAACGACCTCGATTATTAGCAACTCTGGATACGTGGATGACCTTATGAGTCATTACCTCCAAAGACTCCGCTAAAAATCTCCAAGTTCTTACGACCAATCTCCCCAGCTGCATAGATAGCAAAAACTACTTCTTTGAACCATCCTTTGAATTCGTCGTCCTCTAGGATAGCCTTCATCTCGTTCGCAACAAGGGCTGGTGGGCATCGATATGCCCCACAGCCTAATGCACCTAAGGTCACGCGAATGAAAAATGAGTATCAACATCGCCCAGTCATCACAATACATACCAAGGACAAGGTAGGTCTTTCCTCTTCTCGCGGCCATGCGATACACGAGCCTGATCTTGTTTCGTAAGTCCTCCAGAACCGTCGAGTCTCGGAAGGTAAGACCGTCACTCGTTAGCGGACGTCTACGGGGCGCAGCAACTGTGATTACTGAGACGACGCGACGTTGTCCAGGAAGGAGATCCACGCAATTGTGGTCAAGATCATCTTTAAATATCACCACACCTGGAGAGTATATCCCGACGGCTGAGCCAGGACCAGTGTTGGCCCATGGGTAATATGAATGTTTGAGGGTCGCATAAAGAGTTGATGAATAACAGAGAGCTTCCTCCTGCACAAACATCGAGTTGAGGTCGAAAGAACGAAGAGAAAGGGTTTACCTGGGTTTTTGTCAGAGTAGTGACCCATCCACCCGCGGGAAACTCGTCACTCGCGAGATTAAGAACAGTGGTCTTTGAAAATGCGTCGACAGCGTTGTCAAAGATGTCCCGCGCAGCGGTAAATGAATCCGAGTTCAGTAATCTCACGCGCGGAGACCCACAGTTTGGGAATTCCGGGTCCGACGAATCTAACGGTGGAAGCTGGTCAAGAGACAGAAATTCTGAGTCGGCCGTCGCTCCTTCTGTTTTGTGGTCGCCGATGATGGTTTCAGAACGTGCGATGGTGTCCTGAGAGATAAGACGTCGTGCTTGAATTGGTGTCAGTGGTGATGAGGCCGTGAAATTGTGAAGCAGATTTAAGAATATAGCCATAGTAGCTCATTATGGTTATCTTTGAAAGGGCTGTGCAATGGCAAAGGGTGGTCCGGGCCGGAAAAACCGGTGTTTACGTTGTTCTAATACCACCGCCATGCACTTGAGTCTTGCATCCAGTACTGAACGGCTGGTATCTTTCGCTCATAAAAAACAATTCTTGAGTTTCTGGCCCGAGAAAAACATATCCGTAATTTTCCGCACTCATCATCCAGACTGTTGAAAATTCTCGTCGACAAAAATTATCCTCCCACTTTTAGACGTTACCTTTAACAGCTCCCGGGTCACTATCCATGATTGCTACTGGGTCGAATGGCGAGACAACGTATCTGGACGTTGGGGATGTCACCGTACGCGTATAAGGTTATGGCCACGGAGACCTCAGACTGGAACACGAGTGGTTTAGTTGGAAACATGTCTTAGAACACAAACGTGAAAGGCCAGTCTTCTCCTCCAAACACCTTGCAGCTTGGGACTCCCTCACTGACAACGCGTATAGTAACAATCGCCGCGGATGCAACATGTATGGTTTGCACGTACCATCTGGTGATGAGGAATCTGGAGGAATGTACGATTGCATCTGTAATCAGACGGGCGATGGAACATGCGTTTTCGAGGCTTGTAGTAAACCAGGTGCTTTCTCTATGAGACGACATAGTCTGGCTCGGCAGATCCTTTTGCAATGATAACTTTCAGCGATGATGTAGACGCAGCAACAACAACCGTGACAGTGCTCCCTTTTTCGGATACAACAACTGTGTTCATGGTCACGTCTGCGACCGCCTGGTCTCCTCCGTTGTCGGTCACTACGGCGGCACAGGGGAACGCTGGTTTCCTCAGGCTTATCGACTAGGCGTGCCAGAGTAGCGGTTCTTCACTGCTATTGCAGCTCTAAGTGGGCGTTTAATGCTAAAGTTATCATGTAGGCTCAAACAATACGGCTTCTCGCACTGCTATTACATCGAATGTAGTTCACCGACAACAACGACGTGTGTACACTTGTCACCAGCGAACTATCCTGTTCCCCAGTGCATTACCTCCCTTAAGCAACATGTTTCCCTACCACAGTTCCAAGTTTGGACCATGATTCAGACGTACGCCCTACTCTTGCAATCCTTTGGGCGTCCATAGATGACCACTTCTTTGAGCGGAAATGCCAAAACTCTCGACAACACACCTCAGGCGCAAAACTGTGAATCTGTACTTTGGGGCTCATATGGCTTCCGAATTGAGGCGTGCCGCTCCATGACATGTTGCACATTGGTAATGGCTTGCAACTTGCAATTGCCTTATGCTATGAGTTATTTTCCTGGTTATAACCAAAATGACTAGTCTCGCCCACGCCAATACTACGTCTTTCTCGCTCAGCGCCCAGTTATAACCTGGTCAATTGGAACTTGGAACTTCCGAAGTTACTCGTTTGCCACCTTTCACAGAAGCCGAATTTGGCGCTAATCCATTTTAGGACGGCGTGACCGCACTAAATGATCAGCCAGACTAAAACTACGGCCTTCAGTGAACGTATAAAAGGCTATAAAACTTCGTGCAGGCCAGTCTAACAGTCACTAGTCATTAACCATAATGCTCTTCAAGCTCTCCACTGCCGTGCTCAGCCTGTCCGTCCTTCTCCAAGCAGTTCAGGGTTACCAGTGTTCAGACGGCCAGCACGGAATGTGCTGCTCAACGTTTAACCCCAAGGTCAGTAGTTCACGGAGTTGTTCACCCACCCAGGCTGCTTCTAATAATCGGCTTTCACAGGATGGTACAGCCTGTACGTGTTCTCCTTCTTGAGCGTACACAATCCAACTTATGCTTCTCAGCTGGCTGCGTTTTCGGTTCCAGTCCACAGTGGTCATGTAATCTCACTCCAGTGTGCTGTGCTCGAGTTGTTCGTAGCATCTTGTTTATGTCGGATATCTGGCCCACATTGGTCACTAATATTCAACAGGTAGACACGGACACCGTCACTATCGACGGCGCTGCTTGCTCTGCTGCTCCCAAGTCCTAATTTATGGTAAGATCATCTAGTATCCTAGTATCAAACTCTAACTATATCTTAACTCGACTTCTAACGCACAATTAGATTTTCGATTCCACGATATTTTCTATTACATTACACAAACATAGCTACAGGACTGTTTACTTGCTATGTCTAATATGAGATCAAGAGATCTCAATTTTCGCATCAATCGGGGTGTGTGAACGACTTACACACCTTCCAAGTGAGTTAACTATGCTTAGATAATATTAAAATTACGGAGCGAATAGCTCATATAGCTGGGATGGCCGAGTCGTTAAGGCGAGTGATTTGAACTCACAACATCACTTGGTGTTTCACCGCGTAGGTTCAAATCCTGCTTCCAGCGTATCATTTTAATCGTTCTTTAAAGTCCTCTTGCATGAGACGAGAACGTCAGCGCGATACATAAATACATAGTTGAATGTCAGACTACTTGATATTTTATTTCAGAAGCGACGTCAAGGTCGTTGAAAGGGCAAAAGTAATTGCATCACTTGCCTCGCAACACACACTTCAAACTTCAAGCTCAAGGACAGGATGTGGGCCAAGTTATACTGTATAAGTTGACGCCAAATTCCATAACTGTTAACTGATTCAGTGCCCCATTATATTAATGTGCGATACCGAACAGATATTTTAAACGTTACGTTGCCAAGTCGTCCGCTCTTTGAAGCCCATCAAAAGTCTCCAAAGTCGGTAAAGACTCCCAGATCACTCTCCTTGTTGCATCTGCGTAGAGTTCAGACGCATAACCTGGCATGCGGCTTGTGCTTTTCATTGTAAGTTTCTTAAGAGATGTAAACATCTTCAAGAACTGGATGAAGTAATCAAGATAAATCCTCTGGTGCTCGAGCCGGCTAGTGGGTTGCCCACGTATGACAAGATTAAGCTCAGAAACGTTAGGGATTTTCAGCTTCTCGAGAACAAGAGCAGCGTCGTCTGTATGAGGTGAGACGGAAAAGTATGGTTGGAACGCGGCAGGATTGTTGTGCATCTGCACGTTCCGGAGCGAGGTTCTGATTGACATCCCTCCAAAGTGGACAGCCAGAGACACCTGCGGTGAGTTTTCTGATTGTTTTGCTCGTTCTGTCAAGTGGTAGAGCACGGCTTCGAAGGGGCGACGTTCGAAGCGTCCTGGGTCGCTTCCAGTGAAGGGACCGCTATATTTTGCAAAGATGGTGATAGACGCTAGCTTTGGGAAAGTCGACGGATGTGAGAAAAAGGAAGCCAAGTCCCAAGGATCGGCAAGAAGAGTGGTGAGGCTTGGGAGAAGCTTATCTCTCAAGTGAAGAGGTATTTCGAAACGGCCAAAGAGTGCAACTGTCGAGAAATCGAGGGTCGTGATTGACGGGTGCCGTATGAAGAATGCTAGGAGGTCTACGGCTGTGACATGAGCTGTACCTAAGGAGAACGTAGAAAGTGTCGAGAGGGAAATAGAGGATAAGATATAATTCCATTCATAACGCGTCAATTGGACGCTCGAGAATGATAGAGTTGTAATAGGTGAGGAAGAAATCATTGTTATAGTCCAGTGGAAGAATGGAAGTCGTAGGAGGAGCTCCGAGTGAATGTGGAAATGCTCCAGGAACACAGGAGAAGGGGGAGGCGAAACAGAAATTGGACAGGCCTTGATAATCGGTTGAAGAGGATGAGTATATTGATTGAGCGGACCGTTTTCGAGCGACAACCGTGAAGGTTCTCCTGGACTGATCAGTCGTGTCACGGCGAACATTCCGCAAATCCTTCGATCTCGAGAATCAGCCTCAATTTGGTATACAAATGGCCTCCCTAGCCCCTTACTCGTCCAGCTGACCTGGTTGGAGACCGCGTCGTGGATGATGGTCAACGTCGAGTGGGGCTTCGACGCCACGGAATTCATCACTTCTGTAAAGAGTTTGAACCAGACAGGCTTGAGCCTGCCGACGTGCGAATCGGATGAAGAATTAGCTGAGAGACGCAACTCTATGTCAAAAGAGTTGTATTCGTTAGCATTAATGGAAAGGAGCAGGACATGCAAGGCTTTGAGATCGTCAAATATGCGAAGTCTATATTGGATGTCGAGCTTCAGAATTAGTTTGAAAGGTCCCTCGGAGGAAAGATGTATGTTGCCGGTTGGGCGCAACATCTGCATTGGTCGGAGATCCAACAGGGACTGCAATGCGTGACCTGGGCCGCCGTCCAGGCGCAACGACCCTTCATTTTCCAAAGATACGAGGTGAAGCAGATGCTTGTAGTTAAGAACCGGTAATGCTGCTTCAGAAAGCTTTCTAGATGTCCTTATGAGATGACAGATGGTCCGATGGTCATGTAGGAAATAGTGACAGATTTCGAGGAGTACTTCATTCGGAAGTTGGTCGAGGCTCACCTTAATAGTACAGATTTCAGACTTTTGGTGATTATCCATACATAATAAATGCGACAGACCTTTGCCATTCTTGCGGACATAAAAGGCGGAGGGTTGGGAGACGAGGGGTTTTGACTCGTGAAGGCGGTTGTACTTTGTGATGAGTCTCTATCAACCTTGAGCTTGGACAACCAATCAATGCATCATCGACATCGTTTGATGCTGGGTCTGAATTTGTAAAATTGTACGTGATAATAATCTTGCGATAAATTGCTTTAACACATCATCCAATGCAATATCTGCCCAGTGGATGAACTCGGAGCCCGTGACTCATTAAACATGACAACTACATAATTTACACAGCAACATGGAACACTTCTGAATTAATCGAAGTATGTGTTGAACTTGATCGTGCTTTGCAATTGTTGTTGCCTCACGTCGACCTTCTTGATATACAGCTGCATTATCTTGACGAACCCCAATCACACCGTAAAAGGCGTGTGCAGTGCCTACCTTCAATAGCAGAGGAGTTATTTTTTTTGCAGATGATCAGTGTTCTTTTTCTATGTTGACGTATCTAACAATCAGATGGTGCATTACTCATCGCCGACTGAGAGTGATATGTGCTTTTTTTAGGAACGCTATGTTCAAGGAGCACACGACCACTATTGTTGGCCTCTATTTTTGGAAAAATTTCATGCTCGTGCGACTAGCGTGTCAAGATGGTTTGGAAGTGTAACCCGACCTACACTGGTGATTTGCGAATAAGATTCACGGAAGACTCTAGACATTGGTCAGGGTATGCATTTTTCACGTCTTCTTTGGGTTCTCCTCTTGACCTTTGACAACTTCTCCCTGGATAAAATAAATGAGCCTCTGGCTCGAGCGCTGTGTGTCTGTGAGACCAACAACTTCTGATATCTATGATCTAACTCTGATCCTCATATTTCTATGGAAATCGATTCTTTCCAAAAATGCAAAATATTTATATTGGCGAGGTAACACAAATCCACAGTATTTGCAATACCCACTATCCCATATCACACATGTCTACCCCTACCACAAGTCCCTTAGATGTAGATATCGCCAAGCAAATGTCAGTGTCAGTGTCTTGACCATTGACGTTATCTTAATGGCCCTTGACAGATTCATCCACAACATTATCATCATTGTCCCTATAGGTATTTCCATATAATCACTCTGGTATTTGGCTTAATCAAGGTCTCTTTTCTAGCAATTCTGTCATACGACTACCTGATAACATTTGGTAAGCCTCGACTGTTCTTCTCTGTCATGTAGCATCTAAGCCCCTCTGAAGGGATGGAATTGGAATATGTCTGGCGACGACAAAAGTCATTTATCAGTTACTTATTTTTTATGGCTCGCTATTTGGCCCTTGGTGGAGAAATTCTTGAATTTGTCTTTCTATTTGTGATTCTTTCTGGCCCTACTGTAGGTCCCTCAGTGTCTAAGAATTCGCGCTAACGCCCATCCACCTATAGAGGTAACGAGAGCAGTCCACCGTCTTAATGTTAATCTCCATTCACGGGACTTTAAGCTGCGACCATTATAACCTCTTTCGACAAATACTGCTAGTCCTTGCTCAAGTGATAATATGCCGTGCGTATTAACCACCGGCTATCCTCATATAGACGTCCTCTTATGGTTTTAGTACTTCTTTTCATGCGAGTTTTTGCACTTTACGGCCTGTCGAAATGGATTCTAGCGCATACAATCGTTTGTGGTGCAGTGATGGCGGGTACAGCGATTGTGTGTCCTTTTCTTCCACGCTCCCAAACATATTGATCTAGCTATTTACATATTAGTTCTGCCTCTTTGGTGAGAGTGAGCAGCCGGTGCGTACCGCGGGCTGTTATGTCCTTTATTCACGATCAACGTGCGTACCACCACCATCACCTCCCTCTGTTGAAGCATCAGGAGCGCTCACCTTTGACTCAAGGGCAATTCGTGATTCTTCCGCGATATATCTGCTGGTATATCTTTAACTTTATATACAGGTCTAGCGGCTCCTTGGGAAGCTCTCTTAGTCTACGATCTGAGCATGTTTGCTCTCACGATGGCCAAGACCTGGAAGTATCGACATCAATTTCGGAGTCGTACCACCACGTCTACCTTTTATCTGATGTACCGAGATGGTAAGCGTTCCAAGATGCGCTCTTCTTCGACTACTAATTCCCATTCAAGGCGCGATGTACTTTCTGTGAGTAACTCGAGCCATTCGGAGGGTCCATACAATTGAATCCAATCTTTAGCGTTATGACACTTGCGTATATTGGGAACATAATGGCATTCTACGTATGTATTCATTAATGTTTGGGACCTTGACTCTATTCAAGTTGACCACATCACGCAGTTCTTTCCTGTATTTTGGCACATTTGTTGGAGTTTGCATACACTAAACCTTTTTACAGCCTTTGTTACGTGCCTCAATGGCCGAATTTGCAAGCACGTTCGTGCCTCTGACTCTATGAAGATTCTTGCCTGACGTTTTTCCAGGATATCGGTCACAATGATGTTGCGCCTCACTTTGAATCATGCAAGCCAGTCCAATAACCTCGGATCCAACTCTGGCATGGAGCGTGTCCTCGAATGTTTGACCTACCAAACATATAAGTGTTTGGAAGGAAGTTGACCAGTCTGGGCGTCCCAAGCGCTTTGGCAATTATTAGTTCATAAAGGATATACCTCTCCCTTGGTAGTTAGAATAAAACTATGGAATGCAACAAGACAGGCAAACAGAGACTGTTATGGTCGATCATCGCGAGACAACGAAAATCCTGATATTGCCTGAACGATAAAGGTGACCATGAACACTCCTGCATTATACCAGCTCTTTAGGTACTTGGATGTCTGGTAATAATCAAGCAGACAAAAATGGAGACATAGATTTGTTGATGATTTCATGATATGATATATGAAGACAGGGTAATCGTAAAGCCCAGTTTGTAATAGCAGATGTAATGGCTACACAGTGACCTTTCAGTGAACGTCAGGAAATCAAGAGGAAGAAGGGAAGAACACACCCGCAAACCCAGCGGAAATACTTGCTTTTCTTCATTAATTCAGATATTTCGACAATTACTTCCTCGCCTTCTTTTTCTGCGCCGCCTTTGCCTCTTTTTCCTTCTTCTCCGCTTCCTTGGCTGCGTCTGCCTTGGCAATTTCGTGCGCCTTCTCATTCAGGCCGAGTCGATTTCTTGCGACCTATGGGAGACTATGTTAGTGTCGGTGGCGCGGGACGCGAAGGAGGGTACGGACCTCGAACGCGTAGAACTAGAGAATGGGGAAGAAACGTAAGTGAAAGAAGGGAGGAGAAAAAAGCGCGCAGGAATCAGTACCTGCAAGCGAGTAACTGAGGTACGTAGCAAATGAGTATTGGGTCAAGGCAGACAGTAAGGCAAGGCATACCGAAAATTGTGCTCCTCTCACCATACTCATCTTCTGAGTTTGTACGAATCAGGCATCCAAAGTTATGCTCCTTAACACGCTTGTCGTATCTGGCAGTAGCAGTCGATGGGACACACGTCGATAGAAAGATATGGAGATGTCACATACAGTGTGTGGAATGCGAACCAGCGCTTTTTCCCGTCCTCGCTTTTCATGAAGTTCTCATCTAGCTTTATAAGCCCCGCATATTCGTTTTCAAAGAGCTCGGGGAATTTATCTTGAGTCTCCTTGAAAATGTCGTCGTCGAGGCTATTGGGGGTTTAGAATGAAAATCGGATTCGAAAGGAGAAAAGGAAGAAAACCTACGCGGTCAGCTTAAGCTCGCGTGGTGGTACTTTCGCTAATAGGTTCCAGTAGGTCTGTACTGAGCGTGAGTTGAACATTCGGGCATGTACGGGGCACAGAAACACACCTGAGCCTGTTCAACCGCCTTGACTGCAAATCTTAAACAAATGAATCAGCATCGACGCGAAATGGCAAGCCTGGCAAGCGATTACGACGCACTGCTTCTCAATCTATATGCAGCATGTCAGCCACTTGATGATCGCGTGAAAAAACTGGAGAAAACGGACCTCCATGAGATTTTGAGCATTTTTAGGATCGAACTTGGTAGCCATGATGGTTGTGAAAAAGGAGTGCGGGGCAGGACAAGGAACAACCGACGTGGCAGTATTCCAACTTGAGAGTTAATATCCCCCGAGAACCACGTGCCTGATCATCTAATCACATCACAAAAAAGACATTTTCCCTCTAGCCGACTTGAACGACTGACCTCGTCATCGCAATTAAACACTACTAGTGACGCGCTCTACCACTGAGCTAAGAGGGACGTTGACCACGTGGTCAATATGTTATAGTAATCTGTGTTTTTAGTTCTATGCTATATCATCAACTACTATTCACAAGTTACCAACATCCTCGGTCGTACCTCCGGCTATTGGAAACACCACTGGCAGCTGGCTTGATCATCGCTGTAGATGAAAAACCGTTTCATTGACCTTTTGCAAGGATGACTTGACAAATGACCGCCCCGGACCTATTTTCCATCACCGGGTCTGAGGATGACGAAGCCTTCAGACATTCGATCCAATATATAGCCAGTGGATACGACAGTTAACCCTCACTATTTCACGATGACTCCGCCAACGCATGAGCTCATTTTCGTGCGTAATTCAGCTCGGTCTATGAACCATACTGACCTTTCGCCACAGGTAACTGGGGCCTCAGGATTTCTTGGTTCACACATCGTCCTACAACTACTTCAAAAGGGCTACCGCGTACGAGCGTCAGTCTTCTCCGCTTTTATCAAGCAATGGTTCTGATTGAGTATTAGTGCTGCTCGCGAACATCGCATTGCTGACCTTATGGAAAGCCACAAGAAGTTCGGAGACAGGTTCCACGCTGTTGCAATCTCAGACATTGCCGTAGACCAGTTTCCTGATGCCCTGAAGGACGTCGATGCCGTCATTCACACGGCTGCCTCTCTTCCTGAGAGGCAAGGCTCTGCGGAAATGCTTTCTGTGAGGTTTCCTGTTACTTGAACAAATAATTATTCGCTGACAGGTCATAGAGCGCGATCGACGGGACATTGAACGTTATACGCCAAGCAGAGAAAGCAGGGATAAAGAGATTGGTTGTTACAAGTTCAATTGTGACTGTCATTAACCCGTCGAGGTCCTTCACTGATAAGGGTATGCATTACTTCACACTTTATACAGTAAGAGCCTATTCATCTATGTATAGATTGGTACCCAATCACGAAGGAAGAGGCGTTGAATACGAGCGGCATGGACACGTATCGAGCCGCAAAGACGCTGGCGGAAAAGGAGCTTTGGGCATTTGGAGAGGCGCATCCTCACTTGGACATTACTACCTGTACGTTTCATTTCTTCCAGTGAAATGAGCTTTCTAAGCACACCCTACAGTGAATCCGCCTTACCTATACGGGCCTTTAGCGGAGACGTTCACCGTCCCAGTTGGAAGCTACACCGCCCTTTCAACGGATCTTTATATCTATCGTTTCTTAAGCCCCGATGGTGGCTTTATGCCCTCCGCAGGGCAAGCTGACGTACGGGACATCGCGCATGCGCACGTTCTTGCGCTCACGTCACCACCAACATCTGCCGTCGGGCGCAAACGTATCCTCATCGCGTCGCCGCATGGCTTCCACCCCAAGGCTGTGCTTGAGATGCTTGCAGAAAGCCGCCCGGAGCTGCAGAGTCGATTGACAAAGAATACATCCCCTGAGTATCCGTTTGATCGCACCCCAATTGATTTTGGGAGAGTTGAAGAGGTGTTGGGGATGAGTAAGGATGACTTTAAGGGAGTGGAGGAGACAATGATTGAGACGGTGGATAGCTTGATCGCACTAGAGAAGCAATGGGTTGCTCAGGGGCATGAGATCCACATCCCACAGATGTAGGATGTAGAGTTGAAGTCACGAGGGTAACTTTTGATATTCCGTGTACCTGCAGCAGTAAGTTAAACATTTGGTAAATGACACAAGGACCATTGGACCTTCCCTGCCTCGAAAACTCTACCCAGGCATGTCCGTAAAAATGGGGGAAATGCTCTCAAATTTCGTTTTCAGAAGATATACTTCGAATTTGGAAGTTCTTTCTTCTCTTCCCACTCTGAACCCATTTGTCACCTCATGGTTACACCCTGAGGATGGGCCTACTGCTGTCTTTCATTATCCTCTCTGATAAGCCCGCTTTGTGAAACCCAAGATATCATGTGCTGTCTCATGTATAACGAGTGGGCTGTCTAATTGACTAATTTTCGGGCGCGGTTTATATGGGCGGTTGAGGATTTCTGAATGACAGTGAAATATTGAGGTGACGCTTATGCATGGCTCTTCACAGGTCATTGATTAAAAGTCAAATGTTCCAGAGACGTAGTAAACCTCAAGCCAGCCATCACTCCCGCGCTCCTGCGCTCCCGGATCCACCTGGAATACATAGCCTCACCAATTTCTAAACGATAGGCCCCCTTCGACAGCATCAGATGATATCAATTTAAAGGGGCCTATTGTTCAGAAATCGGACTTCCAGCAGTTACCGTACCGTTATGCCCCTTGGATTTCGTATTGTTTACTGGCGCCCGCGCCATCCAGGTGCCGCGCATGCCGATGCAAGACTACATTCTCAATAGCACACGTTACATAGTTGGGTTCAGATTTCGTATGGATAGTCACGAACAACAGCCAGTAACGCCAATTTCTTTAATTCTTTAGACAAGTGTCGTCTCATGGTTCCAGAAATGGAACCTTCATCTACATATCGGCGGTGTGCGGCACATAGCGGATATCAAACGAACTAATAAACAAGACGAAATCAAAGGGGACTATCGTTACGCGGTAACTGCTGTCATCTTTTCTTTGTTTCAGTACAGACAGTCGGAAGCCAAGTGGATCACAAGCCTATCATCGATCAAGCTTCAAGTCCCACGATTTTCCATGATTGCAGTCGTCACTCATATCTATACTCTCCCTCGTTGATGGCTATTCGCAAATTCATGGCAAGGTGAAGGCTCAACTCACTTGCGCATATCACCTATTCATAGAAATCGCAAAGAAATGCAGGCTTTGGTAGATGAGGTCGAAGTTTTCAAACGTGATATGTGACCCCAGCGTGAAACATCTTGTGTATCGAGGAAGGCCTATTGAGCCAAGCAACCTCTCTGAGCAACCTCTTCCGGAGTTACGCGATGATGAGTTTTGTTCATCAAACTATAGTGATTGTTCATCACGATAGTGCTTGCGCAATAAAATAAACTGCATCCTCGTAGTACTCATTCTTCCAGTTCTTATAGCGTCTTTCCCACTCACCACCACCCATGGCCAATATTTTTATTGATCAAACTTCACCTGACTTGCGTATAAATCAGGCAACCACCGAGCAGACCTTATCATCAACGACCTTCATGGGTGGAACTGCGCTTAGCATTGTCGGTGCCAGTGATGTTGCTCCGTCCATTTCCTTCAAATTCAACGGTGAATCCACCATGAAGTTTTCTATTTAGAATTAATGCTTACTATCTATTAGGAAAGACCGCTTCATTCTATGGCCAGTTCATTTCTGTGCTCTCTCCTGCGTACGTCCCATTAAACGTTGTAATCGACGGAGTTCCAGAGAAGTCGAATCACTCTACATCGGCTGCATTGAACGCAATTGGGTTGTTCTATGCAACTCCGATACTATCGAATGGACAACATACTGTTAACATCACCTTTGATCAAGTGGATGTTCCATGCGTGGTAGATTTTATCACCGTTACAGCACCAACAAACGGAACACCGATATCAAGTCAGCAATTCATTATAGATGACGATGATCCATCTGTCTTGTACGAGGGAAGCTGGACAAAAAATCAAAGCACGATTTCGAACAACGATCAATGGAATAGATTGCCCTATGGGGGTGGGATGCATCAAAGTTCATCCCCAGGTTCCACTGTCACATTCTCCTTCAACGGTACGTAGTTTTCCATAGTGTACGGGATGCGTTCAAGTTGACCATAGCGACTACTGCCACTCATCCATCCAGGAACGTCGATAACAGTATATGGCGTACCAATACCATCAACTTCACCGGAATTACAATTGGCTTATTCTATGGATGATGCTCCTCCCTCTCTCGTCAGCTTTGGTGCAGACCAGTTTCTAGTTCCGAATCCTAATTTCCCGTGGTATATGAACGACACGCTACCGCCGGGGAGCCATACTCTTAAGCTGGAGATTATGATAGCTTCAGATATGAACTTCACTGTGGACTATGCGATATATACAGGTTCAATTCAATCGAATGCAGCAAGTAGTACGACAGCTACGACACATGCATCATCAGTTAAAGAAAGGAGGGTCGCTTTAATCGGACCCCTCATTGGAAGTATCGCTGGCATATTTATCGTCGTTATAATCCTGCTGTACTACAAACGGAAATCCAAAGTTGAACGCTCAAAAGGACTAGGTGAGATATAATATATCATACACTGGCAGCTATTACGCACTAATTGTATGATATATACCAGAGGGCCTAGAGGCATTTCCATATACCTTGGGCAATACACGAATTCCGAGCATCCCACAACTAATGAGAGGAATCCAAAAGAAGTCTGTCTTGAATAGAGAAGGTGAGTGCTAGTCGATTACTTTCATGGAAGAGCATAGACGAATTCGGAATTTGCTTCATACAGATGATCATCCAGCGTGGAGTGCACGTTCAAGCGAGCTAGTTGTCGAGACGAAACCTCCGCTGCCATCAAGCACACTATTACAGGTTTCTGAAAGTCGTACCATGCAGTCTAGATATGACAGTAGGAGGCAAGACAGAGTTGCGGGAGCCAATCAACCTGGCCAAAGTGATGACGTAGTACATGCTGCTCCTCCTCCAGGATACAATCGCCTTCATGGTAGACGACCACCCAATAATGCAGCTTCAACTATTACACCATCCACCATCCCGCCATCCACCATCCCGCCATCCACCATCCCACCTCCTTATGAGGATCCAGCAAGAAGCGATCTATAGATAGCACTGGTTATGGTGATGATTAGGCGTACCCTTGACTCTTGAGCGTTGAATGCTCAGTGCAATATTGAGTAAATTAGTATATCGATTGATGATATATTTGGAAGAAAACTGCAAATACTAGCCAGAAATTTACAGGCGCTAGCAACAGGAAATTCCGTTATGTAATATTACATCAGCAATATCACAAGCCCTTTAGATGCATCTTTTAGCACTTTGACTTTTTGAGATCTATTGTAAATACTTTTAGCCAACTTCAATATCGCTTTTTAGTCTTTGAGATTTCAAAAGCACTTTC